AGATGACGACGAGGTCAATGCGGAGTACGCGGGGAGTAGCTGTCGAGGCTGTCGGACCGCAATGTCTGCCGGTGACGTAGCCACGAAAAGAGTGGGCCAAGGGACGGTACGACAGAGTAAGTCGGTAGCTGGTTGTACGCGTCGTAATGACTGGGCGTAGAAGCGGAAGAGACAGGGCCGTAGTCGTTGGCGGGATGCCATGCGAGCTTTGAGTACGTGAAGGAAGTAAGCCCCAGCCCCAGCTGCGCAGTAGAAACACCCCCGGCACTCGCGCTCACGACGAGCGCGGAGTGGACCAAAAGTCAAGAGGAACCGCCCGGGAATGCGCGTGGACTAACATGAGTCGCACGGCGCATTAGTGGACGTGAAAGCTCGCGGTGGGTGGACATGTAGTCGTACCAGAGCGGGAAGTGAGATCGGCAGGTCGTGCGCCAAGGATGACGTCAGCGACGCTTTGCGGCTGGCCCTGCCGTTAGCTTTTCAGGGGTTGAGGAACTTTTTACGAACTCGTAATCTATTCAGCCCGCAAACCCGAATTCAACTCACACGCCGGGTGGACTAGGAAGTGTGAATTGACTCGTTGCTGTACAAGATTTTGGGTGTTTCAAAATTTGTGATGAGGGGCGATATTTCCAAAAGGTCAGAGAGAGCGGGGTTGACGGTGGCGCTTGCTGCGTTCTTTGACCGACACGGTGGTTTGTCTACCACGGATGGCTGCAGCTTTTATCGTGTGAAGGTAAAGTTGCCAGAAAAGTTGGTCCAGAAAGACCAAGAGATGGTCGAACTGATAGTCGCTTCCAAGTGGGAAGGGGTAGGTGGCCCTTACTTTAATTTCTTCAAGCACCCCAACAAGCTGCAGCTCGCGGCGGAGTCAGAGCTGAATCAAGCTATTGATGATGTGGTAATGGACCAGTTCGTAGAATTTCTCTGTAGCAACATAGTACATCATTGTAACGGCAAGATGGATCAGAAACTACAATCTCGTTTGGAGGCGGAGGTAGCTGGCCCGTATGCTTTGCAGTCATGGGAGGCCGTCCCGGTCGGCAAGGATCATGTTGCCTTGGGTGATGATGTCTTCATGAAGAATAAGGTCCTTATGGATGAGAGCTATATAGATGATGAGGCCTTAATGGATGATGATTATGCTGATGATTATGATTTCCTCTCGGACGATGAGGTTGCCAGTCACGGGACGTCGGTAGAGAGCGTGGCGGAGCTGGCCGTACTCAAGGCCGAATCCTGTTCCCGAGTTCCGAAAGATCAATACTGGGTGAATCAGCGGCACTGGGAGTTGAATCACCACGTCTCCCGATGAAGCAAGCACGGAGATGTCTCTGACGACTCGCTCTCGACCGGACCCAGGGACATCGAGGAGAATTTTGTCCCCCCCTTAACATTAATTTCCCTAAGTTGGTATCGTTCACGCCATTCTTTCATTTCGAGAAGATCACATAACGGGTGGGATGCGGCTGCCATCCAGCCTTCCACGCGGCTGAACATGACATGTTCGGTAGGTTGGTTCGGTCACCATCACCACGAAATCAGTTATGGGTAGCGAGTTATGGTTAACGAGTTGTGGTTGAGGGGGGGGGGGGGGGGG